TGGCACATGTTGAAACCCAACTCCAGAAACACACTGCTGATCTTCCTCTGAACACTCCAGTCCTGATACCATGTGTTACTATGGTGGATACTATGGAGGCCTGGGCTTTGGCTATGGAGGCCTAGGTTGTGGCTATGGTGGTGGCTATGGTTATGGCTGCTGCCGCCCACTGTGTTGTAGAAGATATTGGTCTTATGGCTTCTGCTGAGGAAATTGTGTAGATACCCAGGCTTTCTAACCAAAAGGACTTCCAAGTGTTTTCACATCAGGAACTCAAAAATGTCTTCAAAATTTCTAACTTTAGGACAAAAGATATAAAATAAAGCTGATATACTACATGATCATCTAATCCCTCATCTGAATTTGGCCCATAATCATGTTTAAAGTTATCATCATCATACTCTGCAATATGATTTTAAATTCAACTTTCAACTTACGTTTTTAAAATGTGTATCATCAAATAAGTAAAGGAATAAACTCTACAAAATAGTTTCTGTATATCCTGTGCTTTTGTCTTGGTCACTAGTGAGGTGATGTTTGGGGGAAAGTGTGAGGGAAGTACAATAGAGGAGTATATGTATGGAGATGGAAGGGAAACAGGGGAGGAGAATGAGAAAAAGGACAGGAAGTTCAAGAGAAAGAAATACTTCTTTTCAGAATTCAGATAAAGATGGATATTCTGTTGTATTTATACTTTAACCATTATAAGCAATGAGACAATAAACTTAGTACCTATTTCTTTAAGATTCAGTGATTTTCATCTCATTGTATAAGAAGCAGTGTGAATTCTAGATAATCTGTCAATTCCTTATGTGTTTGCAAACATGAAATGCTATTCTACTCACAGCTACATCAAGTTACATTTCCATCAAGAATAGAGAAGGGTGCTTTGGACTCTACGTGCTACATAACATTCACCTTTCTTCTGTTCGATATAAATTATCTAACAGTTGTGGGCTGAAACATCATCTTGTTTTTGATTTGTATCTCTGAGACATAAGTGAAATATAATATTACTGTGTCCATTTGTCCATATGTATCTATTTCTTTGAAAAATACATATTCTAAATCTCAGCTTATTTTAGCATCCACTTATATTCTTTTGGCTAGTTAGCTTAGCTATGTATATCACTCCACAACAAAATTTCTGCATTAATTGCCTTCCTGATATATCCATTTTCTTCATTTGTATGGAACATTTCTTTTATACAGTGGTTTCTGTTGTTCAGAACATCCTTAGCTAGACCTTTGAAAAGCTTTCTATTTGAATGTATTTTATTCTGATGTTTATATTTCTGACATCATGTGCGTGTGCTGATGTGCCCATGTATATGTGTAAGTGTGGAGGATCATGTGTTAGAGTATCATTATGGAAGGGTTTTATTGGGGCCTTCTATCATTCTAATTTGCCCTCCATCTTACACATAGACGTACAACCATGCAACTTTGTATCTGAACTTGTAAGTCTAGCTATCCATCTGATTCCACTTAAGCTGGCAGGGTAAAGGGTAGAATTAAACACATAACTACCCTCTAATATGTCGGTTTTGGGTGTCAAGATAATATTTTTTCTTCAATTTGCCTCATGTTGCTTAGAACAATGATCAGTAAGATCCATATCTTTGAAGAAAATAATATGAAGACATATCTAGGATATAGAATGAAGCATCCTGTTTATAGATTGGTAGAATTACTAACATAGAAAAGGACTGCCTTTGATTAACCAATGTATCAATTTCATGAAATTTCCATAAATATTCCAAATTTGTCTCAACAGAACTAGACAGCAGAAACCAAATGACCATATAAACACACAAGGTGACACTACGGGCAAAAACAACACTAGCCTTAAAAGAGAAGATGCTACACCTACCACAGATCTTGATCTCAAAATATATCACAGAATCAAACTAAAAATGCTGAAAAAATGATGGCAAAAACAGGCATACAAATAAGACAATGAAGAACATATCACAAGATGGAAAGATCTACTACGTTCATAGATCAGTAAAATTAACAAACCACATTAGGAACACATGAGAGTATATGCTCATGTATGCATAAAGTCATCAACTTACCAATAATATAACCAACGTAAGGATCATTTCTTATCAGAAATGCTTATGTAATATATATTTATTTTACAGTAACAAATCAGGGCAAGGGAAACAAAAGGACATTTTCAGTTTCGGGCACTACAAAACACGCAGACATAAAGAGGAGAGAGAGGTTTCAATCATTTGTATGGCACAGTACAGTAGATACATGAATACTAAATAAACTAAATATACAATGAGGAATGTCTTGAAATAGATCCAGATTTTCATGTTTAAGCCTCATGATCTGACCATGGGATCCCAGCATACAAGCACAATTATCTCAGTTATGTAGCGTTGTTTGCCCAGTAACCTATGGCACCCTGGTTTTTTGTTTTTTTTTTTTTTTTGAAACATAGGAGAGATTCAGTGATGTCATAATGCCTGTGGTTTTTTGCCACCAAACATCCAGGTGTATAAAAGGCCCTTGGCACATGTTGAAACCCAACTCCAGACACACACTGCTGATCTTCCTCTGAACACTCCTCTCCTGATACCATGTGTTACTATGGTGGATACTATGGAGGCCTGGGCTTTGGCTATGGTTGCCTAGGCTGTGGCTATGGCTGTGGCTATGGCTGTGGCTATGGTGGATATGGTTATGGCTGCTGCCGCCCACTATGCTGTAGAAGATACTGGTCCTATGGCTTCT